GTGCGCTCCAGACACCTAAATAATGAGGGAGGTTTGAGCGACAGGGCAGCATCTGAAACACAGAGTCACAGAATGACAGACAGGTTGGGCTGGAAGGGACCTTAAAGCTCATCCAGCTCCAACCCCTGCCACAGGCAGGGACCCCTTCCACTGGAGCAGCTTGCTCCAAGCCCTTGTGTCCAACCTGGCCTTGAGCACTGCCAGGGCTGGGGCAGCCACAGCTTCTCTGGGCACCCTGTGCCAGCGCCTCAGCACCCTCACAGGGAAGAGCTTCTGCCTAAGAGCTCAGCTCAGTCTCCCCTCTGGCAGGTTCAAGCCATTCCCCTTGGCCTGTCCCTACAGGCCCTTGTCCCAAGCCCCTCTCCAGGTTTCCTGCAGCCCCTTTCACTGTAGAAAAATCCTGGAGCCTCCTTACTGGTACAAAACCACATAATTACCAGTCCATATTTGCTTCTGCAGCAAAACGTAAATCCCGTTGGAGATACAAAACCTGTACCTAGAATCAGGCTGTAAACACTGTGCAACAGCACCAGGAGCTTGTGTTGGTTATTGGATGGGGACAGGGAGGGACTCAAGAGTATGTGCTTCAGGATAAGCACAGGGACCTTGAGAAGGGCTCTAGGAGCAGCTGAGGGACAGCCCCAGTGACCCCTCTGTGATCCTGCAGCACCCAGACCTGCACAGCTGAGACCTTCAATCAGTGAGCTAGGATCCTGCTCAGGAGGACAAGGAGGGCAATTGCTCTGCTGCTGCAGCAGTTGGCAACCAGCTCTGAGCTGCTACAGCAGAAACAACCCTTCATGGGAAGGAGGAGGTGAGCCAAGAGAGAAACGGGGAGAGAACACATCAGTGTCAGAACGTGTGGGTAATAGAGGGGAACAGCACTGAGCTGGCTGGGGAGCTGAGATCGACCCTTCTGGAAACACCTTGCCCTGGGTTCAGCAGTAGCATTCATTTTTCTCCTTAGTAGCTGGTGCAGTGCTGTGGTTTTCACTTTCAGCCTGGGAACAGCACTGATAACACCGATGGTTTTAGTTGTTGCTCAGTAATGGTTACTCGAATCAAGGACTTTTCAGTCTCATGCTCTGTCAGGGAGGAGGGGAAGCCGGGAGGAAGCAGAGGCAGGACACCTGACCCAAACTAGCCAGAGGGGTATTCCATACCACAGCACGTCATGCCCACTGTATAAACTGGGGGCAGTTACCTGGAAGGGCTAGATCACTGCTCGGGACAGGCTGGGTATCAGTCGGTGGGTGGTGAGAGGTTGTATTCTCTCCCCTTGTTATTTCCCTTATCATTATCGTTACTGGTGGTAGCAGCATTGGTTTGTGTTATACCTTAGTTACTGGACTGCTCTGATCTCAACCCATGGCAGTTACATTCTTTCTATTCTCCTCCCCATTCCTCCAGGAAGATGGGAGTGAGCGAGCGGCTGCATGGTTTCTGGGTTGCCAGCTGGGTTTAAACCACAACAGTTCTTTGTGGTGCCCAATGTGGGGCACAAAGGGTTGAGACAACAACAGATCTGACCAGAGTGTGTCTAATCGTATGTGTGATAAGCATTCATTGTTTTGGATTAATCATCACAATGCTGATTTATTGGCTCTCAAAGTTGTTGCTCTTGATCTCACACTTTCAGCATGTTGTACCTTACTTAGAGCCAGTATTTGCTGTGTTAGTGTTTATCGGCTGGGGGCCCTGGGATAAGGTTCTTGTTTCACTGTACTTGATGGTAATGACTTGTAATACAATACTCATTGATCATGAAACTGATCTGGCTTGCGTTCCCAGTGTGTTCATCGCCTCTATACTTTGGGAGGTATGTAACAGAAGTGTTTAGCAATTACACATCTTTTGTTTCCTCCTCAGGTGGCCAGCCTATGAAAGAGACATTCCCTTACCTTCCCAGCCACCCCAGACTATTTACAGCATCATTTGAGAGTTCTGAAGGATCTGAATGGCCTTTGGCCTGCTGATTGTGATGGGGATCACCGTGGTGGCACGCATACAGAGTGTGTTTTATCCACAACCATTTCGTCCGATTTCAAGAGTTAAGCAGGGTCGGATTTGGGTCTTGTCTGGTGTTTGATGACAATATAGGAGGACCAAGAGATTCTCCCCGAGGCTGGACAGCCATGAGTGGCAGGGTGTGTGGGACAGAATGGGCAAGTATCCACGCCAGTGGGCCCCTCCAGGGCTTTGGAACTTCACCACTGAACAAGTGCAAAACCCAGAAAAATTAGTAAAACACTGAAATGAGGTGTGTGGTCATCCTGGCCATACCAGAGAGGGACAAATCATGGCAACGTGCTGGGGCTTGGCCTGTGCTTACAGGGCCCTGTTCAACACTATCCAGCACCTTCAAAGGAAAAAACTCTCTGGATCTGAGGGCAAAGCAACAGTCAGTGGAGCTACTCCAAGCACAGCAGCTTCACCACCCTACTGACAAGTACAGCAGGTACTCAAACTCTGACTACAGCAGACAGTGCAGCTAATCCAATTCCAAGCACAGCAACTACACCAACCCCAGTGACAAGTACAGCAGCTACTCAAACCCCAACAGCAACAGGCAGCACAGCTGCTGGTGCTACTCAACCCCCAAGCACAGCGGCTGCACCAACTCCAACAACAGACACTGCAGCCACTCCAACCCCAGTGATACCCACTGCAGCTGAACCAAAGGACCAACTCATGCCAATATTGGCTGCCCCTGTACACAAGGGGAAAAGCAAACAAGAGGCACAAAAGCAACCTGTACAGTGAAGAAAGATGAACCAATGCACTTACTACATGGGACAGCATCTGATCAGGAGTTATTGTTACATGAGTCAGAGGAAGAGGAATAAGAAGAGGTGACTTCTCGACCCTGGACCTCAACTGAGCTATGGAATATGTGAAAAGATTTTACCTGTCAACCAGGGGAGCACATCATCACCTGGTTGCTCCCATGCTGGGACAATAGAGCCAACAGTCAAGAACTAGAAGGTACAGAAGCCAAGCAGCTGGGATCACTTGCTAGGAAAGGGGGAATTGACAAAGCAATTGCAAGAGAGAAACAGTCCTCAGCCTTTGGAGGCGGCTCCTGGCAGCTGTGAAGGAAAGGTTTCCGTACAAGGATGATGTTATGAGTTGTTCGGCCAAATGGACCACGCTAGAGAAAGGCACCAGTCTGTGAGGGAATCAGCCATTGCAGAGATGATCTATTGTAGGTTGTGTGCTGGGAATGCACCCACAGATCCAGATGAAGTCGAATGTACACGACCCATGTGGTGGAAATTTACACAGAGTGCACCATCATCCTGTGCCCGCTCAGTGGCATCAATAACGTGGCATGACCTAGCACCACCACCAGTGGATGAAGTGATTCATCAGCTCCGAGAGTTCCAAAGTTTAACTCTGATTTTGTTACCAACAGCCTCCTAATTCCTGGGTTTGTTTTCCTAGAGCATTTGTAGCTGACAGGAAGCTTCGGCCCCTTTGAGCAAAATCAACTTTAAAAGCATGCTCAGGGCCTGGGCCAGTCAGTTAGATGCAGGCACAGAGGTTCAGCCAATAAAAGCAGCCAGGGGCAGGCCACCCATGCAGCTCTTCACATTGATGAGCACAGATCCTTTAGTCTTGCAAACTGGGGTGTCCCTGGGGAGTTTTGCACCAAGAGGCTGGAGCACAAGGCTCAGGAAGCCTATAGGGCACCGGGGCAATCAGGGGAACACATGGTGAAACATCTGGCATGGAGTCTATACATGTGCCTCAACCCCTACATTTCATTAGGGGATGTGGCCATTTCTCTTAGAGCTGCTAAGCAAGTTGGCCAAAAGTTGTTCTTGTCTCACCCACTGCACACGGACAGGCAAGGAATGGACTGAACAGAAATTTTGCCTCTTCCTCCATCAACTCTCAGCATTAAAGCAAAGAACTGAGGAAGAAAAATCATTTTGTGCCCAGGCTGAATTGTTTTCCTAAGAAAGAGGTTTGTAAGAATGAGTTAACCAGTGCTACCAACACCACTTTTAACACGTTTTTACTTCCAACAGTACTGTGCTAATGAAGGTTCACACGTCCTCTGCCTCCTACAGTGTGGGACAGCTGCTGCTGGGGTCAGTCCAGAGACAGTTACCCTTTACCTGCCCCATTGGTCCTACCTTCCTGAATGGCAGCTTCAGAGGTTGACTGTTCAGCAGCTTCTGCACCTGTAACCTGCCTCGTGGCCCGCGTGTGTTCAACCCGGCTGCTGTGGAGTGCGGGCGAGCGTCCAGCTTGCTACCGTCAAATGGTACCCGAGTGACATCTTCAGAAGGCCAACAAGAGGCTGTGAAAGAGAAACAAGGCAACAGAAACCAGGATGGGAAAGAGAAGTCTGGACTGTTTAAACTAAAAAGTGGGCTAAAAGCCCCTATTGCAAACAATCATCTTCTCACTAGAAGAAGTGATATAGGTGTTGGAATAATGATTAGTGCCACAGGAAAGACAATTCACTGTCCTGTAGGCTCCATGAAACACATGTGAATTTGGGATTAATCCTGAATGCTTCCAAAAGTGCGAAAGACTGCTCAGAACTGCACCAAGCAGGTGTTCTGCAAGTTACAGGGCTGTAAAAGATGAAAGATTCTAGCAACCACAATAAACCTATTGTTTTCTGCTTGTAAATATTCCAGTGAATCCTGGTTGGTTCTGGGCAAAAAGAAACATGGACAACTGTAAAAATACTGTTCCATGACGAAATACAACTTTGTCTGTTGCTGTTCGTGGGAGGACAGGCGTTAAACACTGACCCCCTCACCCAGGCACTCTGACTGCTGTGAGGTGTGCAGACTCAACAGGCTCATCTCAGGCCCCTCTGGATGCTTCCAGTCTGTGAGGTCTGGCCTGGGCAACCAAAGCTGTTATTAGCAAGCTGTACAAAGAGGAGGCAGGCAACAAAGCTAGAGCTGCAGGTGAAGCTGTGCAGATGAATAAGCCAAGGAGGATCTATACCTCCCTGACATACTTGACTACACCTCTTTGCATTCAAACTGCCTTCCTTGATGGCAGAACTGATAGCTTTGGGAGCAGATGTCAGAGGTTCAAGGTGAAAGCTTTGTGACTAGTTAATTCTAACAGATCCATTACCAGTCGGGGGGGCTGTTGTAATGAAGAGCTCAGGTGGCTTCTTGTACAGATCAAAATCAATGTGCCGTTTGTCCCAGCTCCATCTGTCTCGCGGCAGCACTGGCTCCATGTTAGCATGCAGAACATTCTCCTGCCATTTCTAAATGAAAATTGAATCCCTTTGAGAAGCCAGGCCAAAATCACCAGGGAGGGGTCACAAAAATGAGTTAGCCAGCTGCTTGGTTATTACCTGGTAATGCCAAAGTGCAGACTTCACTACACAAGGCTCCTTCTCTCTGAAGCAGCCTTCTAATTTGGGGTGTTTGACACACATGAATAAAGACAAAAATCCATTCTGTGAGCAGGCTGCTGACACTCTAGCGTTGGAACTGGGTGATCTTCAGGCCCTTTCCAACCCTAACTGTTCTATGATTCTAGGAGTCCATGCAGGCAAAAACCTGACTCGTTATTTATCATTGCCCAAGGGTAGGAAGGGGGCTGGCTGTCCAGAACTGCCAGAACAGTCAGAGCTATCCACCACCTCAAGGGTACTCCTAAAACAGTGCTTTTAGGAAGCACAAGCTGTGCCAGTGCTTCCAAAAATACAACTGTGAGCATTAAACTCCTGGGGGCAAGAGCCCAGGTGTCCTGAGGAAGCAGGTGAGAGAAGCAACATATGCACTGGAGTCGTGGCAGCAATATCCATCATGACAGAGTTCAACTGTCTGTGTCCTCTGCCTACCTGCTGCTGAAGCACCAGTGTGATGTTTTGCAGACAAAACTGTCCTTGCCAAGCTACAAATGAGCTCCCAGTGCCTGTTGCTAGCCCTGTGCTTCCACTGATTCACCTAAGCCTGTGCGGTTGTAGGGTAGCTGGGTCAGTGCAGAAACAGTATGGAGATATTTAGGAAACCAGAAAAAAATCCAAGAATTCTTTTGCCTCCTAAGGGGTGGTGTTACAGAAGATGGACAAATTCTGTGTTTGAGAAGAAAACATGAGTGGATAAAGAGGCAATGTTACCAAACCAGACTGCTTCAGAATGGGATTCTACCAGACCTGTAGGATGTCCCGTAGGCTCCATAAAACACATGTGAATATGGAATTAATCCTGACCACTTCCAGAAGCCCAAAAGAGCCTTTGTTCCACATTTCAGGTAACAGGAATGGTAAGTTCAGAATCAATCTATCTCCATTATTCAATATAACATTGGTTATGCCCATGAGCTGCAGAAGGAGCCTCCTTCCCCTTTTTCTCAGCTCCATGGCTAGCACAGATCTCACACAGTTATTGGTACTGCCAGGTTACACTTCGTGTTGCTCAGGGTAAGGTGTCAGCTCTCCTTCCCTCTCTCAACCCACCAGTAGGTGCCAGTGGTCAATACAACATACTCATCAACTGCTACTCCCACACTAAACATCACAGTCCCCCCTTTATTTCAGCTCAGGAACTCTGGTGCCAGTCATCACTGTAAGCCTGCTGCTCCCTTTTCAGCTTGTCAGTTTGATTCCTGTACTAGTTCTTCCTTCTTGTTTCTTCAGCAAAAGGCACCAGTGCTTACACTGTAGGGGCTGACTTCTTACTCTTGGTCTGTGAACCTGCCCTGATCCCTCATGAGAAGATACATTCTCCAGTCTCATGGATAAGAAAAGAGCACTTTGTTTTCATCAACCATTTCACTTCAGCTTTACTCTAACCTTTCTGAGAAACTGCTCTGATTTGTATGAAAAAAGAAGAAAGACAAATAAAGCCTGAAACTCAAGCAAACACGTGCACCTTCCTGCAGGATGCAGCTTGTTGCACTCTGAGCTGTGACTGTGGTCAGTTAATTTGGTAGAATTTACTGATTCTGCACAAAAAAAAACCCCCACAACCCAACTGGTTCTATTTCCTTTATTTTGTCATCTTGCCAATTTTAATAACACACAAATTGTCTTCCTGACAGCAGAGCACATGTGATTGAGTATGCACAATGCTGAAGGTGATTGCTCAAAACAGGGAACTGTCCAGTCAATGACACAGTAAAATGGAAGAAAACTAAATAGTAAAGAATAGGCGAAGGGAGAAAGGGCACAGGGCAGGAAGAAACGGACAGAGAAGACAGTGGTGGGGGGGACAAACACCCCATAAAACTGTAACTGCAAACAAGAAATAAACGATGGAATTAAAAGCAGCAGTGAGGGAATCTGGAAACATGAAGGAAGGCTACAACAAGATTGGCAACGCGTGAAGAACAGCCTAGAACCCAGCCAGGATGCAGCAGTATGATTTTTCTGACACTAGACTCCTCCTGTAAATGTAAACCAAAGTGCTCTACAGTCCACTAATACTTATTAATATCCAATTAATATTGGCAAATGGGTTTTCAGTGTGTGTGCTCAGGGTAGAACTTGTGTATCCAAACAAATTACCACCTGGGTAAGCTAGATGCTGATCTACACAAATTCCAAATGTAGATGTCACCCTTAAAAACTGCTGCCTACACTACAGCCCTCCAAAGAGACTTCCACGTTAAAGCAATCTGCCTCTTCAAGTCTCCTAAAATGCTTGAGTTCACTTTGGAGTGTGCATTTAAGTTTTGTGTTACCTCTCTTAACTCCTCTTGACGTGCCTTGTGTGGCATCTGGGGGTGCAGGTTGCTTTCAATGCTGCTCTTATATCCAGGGAATACAAACCCATCCGGTGACTGCCACATACTCTTGGATTTTTCACATAATTCCTTATGGGCAGCAACCACATCCACTGGTTCAAATGTGGCTGACAGATAGTCTTGACAATAAGTAAATCTGGTTTTTGGTTCCTACAAAATAAATGATGGGTGATTTTGTTAATGTACATTCCTCTTCACTGGGAAAGGAGCCCATAAGGTACAGAACCAGTATTATTTCTTTCCTTCAGACTGCAAGTAATCACAGATCAAAATTATACAAAATATATACCATTAAATATTTAAAGGGCTTCATTTCAGTCTATTATGATCAAATGATGGATTTAATGACAAGTGTTCTAATGGGATCTCTGTAAAATAATTACAGAAAGAAATACCCTTAACATCACGTGTGCAAAAAGAGAGCTGTAATTCATACTGTGCCCACTGTACATCATGAGCAGTTTTCATGGAGCTGATTTCCACCAGCTGATAGGACAATGGTATTTGTTATTAAGATTCGAGCCAGCTATTCAGATGCAAGCAGAAAAATGTGATTCTTCAAACGTGTTCTTCAAATCACTTAATACTGCATACACCAATGCTGCAGTACTCCAGTTCTCCCACTTACATGGGGGACAGAACTGGAAGTGACCACCTCGGTTATCAAAGTCTGCACTCACAATGACAGCCCAAGTCACGGAGGTGGGAAAACATGGCTATAATGAATGGCAATTAAGAGCAGAATTACAGACAGCAACAAAGAGTACCTCAGACTGAGATGCTTTTGGATCCCAACTTCCCTTCCTGTGTGCTAACACGGAAGTTACTAGTGCAGAACTGAGTTTATAAACTGTTCACGTTTCTTTCTTAAGCACAACACAGAGCAAGCCAACACCTTCCAGGCATGTGTCTCGATTTACCTTTGCCATTTCCTGGCGAAGATGCTTCTTGGCAAGTTCTGCAGAATTCAGGCTCTGACAGCTGTAGTTAAAGACAGATTTCCCATCAACAGGAGAGATCAGGAAAACTTCAGACCTTGGCGTTTCCATCTTTCCTTTGAGTTGGCGTACAGCATTAATGTTAGCCTGCAAAGAGGTTACATGGGAGTTCTGTCTGCATCAGGAATTGAGGGTGTTACTGAAAATTATAAACAAGCAAATGATCCTGCAAACATTAAACCCTCCTTTTGTTAATAAACCACTTCACAAAAAGACTTATTAAAAACATAGCCCGATTTCACTCTTGGATATGATACTCTGCCAGACTAACAGCAAGAGACTGGAGGCAAGCACTCACCAGAGAATGTCTTCTACTTACAGATTTAAATAGTTCTAATAGTTGCTCTGGAGAGCTGATGCTGGTTGTCTTCATAAATGAGATTAGTTTTTTCACTTGTACAATTCCATCAACACCCCAGCAAATACAGTGACATGGGGAACACCATTCACCAGAACTCCCCAAGTTTCCCTACTGACACGGGACAACTAAACCCTCACACCTATTCACTGATTTCAGAACATCATTCTACTGTGTTTAGGGTAATTATGGTTTTAATTCAGGTTCTGCCATAATAGGTAATTACAGCAAGAGGGTAAAATTGCATTTTGGATGTGACCTCCCTGTGACATTCACTTCCTTTTTCTTTTAATCAAAAAGCCTTTTAGTAGCCTTATCCGCTATTAAAAAAGGACTTCACCTTTTCTTTCCTATAGAGGCCTTCCCAGTTCCTCCATTATCCTCTTGATTGACAAGCATGTATAAAACAAAAACTTGTTAAAACACACATACTGGGAAGACTGCCAGCTTTACACAGGGAACAAAATAACTCCACATTTCATCTATGCATAATGAGCTCTGCTGCTCTCATCCTCCTATGACGTTATAAAAGCAAGTACCAGGAACAATTCAGATTGATTCCTTTTCTAGCCTCATGAAATATTCCTTTATCAACAGACTATGACTAAAAAAGGAATTACTTGGGAGCTAGATTTCTTTCAGTATCTCCAGGACAGCACCCTTATACAGGAACACAGATTTCCACATATCAGGCAAAATCTTTTTGCCTTAAAACACTTACAGGAAAAAACATTCTGAAGTATTCTTCAAAAGACATGGGATGGCTAGAGTCCCCAGCTACCCAATATACCCAGAAAAGCAATCCAGACTCCCAGGAAACACGGAATACCCCTTCTTTGATGTCTATATTAACAGGAAAGGGTTTAGTTTCAACACATTTTCCCTGAGGGAACAGAAGGGCTGGATGGACACTGGTAACAAGCAAGAAGAGGTTCTAAAATTCTTCACCATTTCCTTGAAGCTCAGCTCAGCTCTGTCTGCAACAGCTGATTTTATTTAGTTAGGAATATGCCTTCCTGGTTGCCCAAAGGCAAGCATGTCTTTTACACGGCAAGAGAGGAAAGCCCAATTTTCACATGAGCTTAGCTGGCTTGCCCCCCCCATAAGCAGCTGAAGCCTGGGTGACATGCTAAAGCACAACAGGGGAGTGATGGGGAAGAAAGAGACAAAGAGCAATAGGAACCAAGCTCAAAAAGAAATGACAGGGTGGTTTCCTCACCATTCACTGTCTCCTCTGTTTACCTGTGAGCACTACGACTGTCTTCCTGTTTCAGAAGTAATTACAATTGCAACTCAACTGTCACAAAATGAAATCCCCCTGCACTTTGTTATCATGTTGGTACAATACCTACAAACACCCTACCAAAGTCTTCTAAGTCTAATGGGTTGTTGTTTCAGGAGACAAAGGAGATGTTGATTAAGGAGATGAAGTTTTGCAGCTATGAGGCTTTGCCCCTCGCATATCACAAACTACTCACCTTAATATAGTTTTTCTTGAAAGACATTTTGTCTGCTATTTCTTTCTTCCGCTGTATATAGGCTTCATTGTAGTTATCTACTGAAGAAGATACTGCCTGTTTCACTCTGCTATCCTTTCCTGGTACTGTATAATCACCAGGGGAAAATGTGGGTAAAGGAGGTGTCTGAGTGAAGAGATCCTCATCAGTTAAGGGAACTCCATACTCAAGACTCAAGGCTGTGATCATCTCTGCTGAGGGCAGCAGATCCCCACGGATTACATCCCTCAACCTCTTACTGCGACAGAGGGAACTGAGCCTACAAATAGACATCAACACTTTATTAGTTTACAACAACTTCACAGCAATCAAATCATTATGATTAATATTCCTGTAGGAAAACTATGCAACCTTCTTGAAACACGTATTTAGTAAGAAGTTCAGGTCAGTTGATGTCTGCTGGCATGTAGCAGCAATAAAGAAGTTTAGTGGTTTAATCAACCTGCTAGGAATATTCTAGGAATGTTGCTGGATATAGCACTATGATTAGCTGCTGAATTTCTCTAGTCTCTGGCTGAAAAAGCAATAAAACAAACTCCCTTCACACACACTGGTTCTAGCACATGATGCATATTTATGTTGAATACCCACCAAACCCCCTCCTGCCTTACCTCTATTTTATGCGTCATTCACTTTCATTCTACGTGCCATTCATGACAACACTTACCTCACATCAGATTTCTTTCCATTCACTCCATTTGGCCTGCAAAGCCTGGTGTCAATGCAAAAGCAGTTCTAAACACACCACAGCCACTGAGCACCACACACACACTCCATGCACACACTTCATTCAGTCCTCTGCCTCCCTAGCTCAGGCCATAGCAGGGGCCATGAGATAAAGTGACTGACCTGACAGCCAAACATAGTGCTGTGATTGCTTGCCAAAAGTGGAAGTCTGTTAATTGATTTACCACACAGCTATGATGTACTTGAGGAAAGTAACTTCACAAAATACTGTAAAAGAAATTACTTGTAAAATCACTGCAACAACATTCTTTTCTTACCATTACTTGGGTGCAATGTGTGCAACTGCTAAATAACATTCATTTCAAAGTTGCATCAGCATTAATGGCACAAATTGAGTTTATACTGGTATGCTAAAAATCAAATTGGACATTGTGCACACAGATCACGTGCATTAGTTTTTCTGCAGTCAAAATTACTCTCCTGGCTAACACTAGAAGGAAGCATCTCAAAAACCAGCAGCTTCTGTTGTGCACACATTAAACTGCTCAGGGACTACAGCAAACCAAAAACTAAGAAAAGCGGAAGTTCTCCAGGTTAGGGACTGCTCCTGACCACAGTTCACAGCCTGTATACTCCAGTGAAGAATGTATTTGTATTCCTCTGAATAACAACAGACCTGGCAGAACAAAGGTATGGCACGAACGACACCCGAAGGCTGGCAGACCCAATCTGTTCATCTGTGGTGCCCAGTGACCCCTCCATCAGCAGGCAGAAACCACACTCTTCTGCCTTACTACCCTGATCTGAAACCTGAATTCCCCATCAGGCCTCAGACTGCTTTCACCATAGAAAAGACACCCAAGAGTAGTATTTTCTGTACCAAACATTCATGCTGCTAAGACTTCATTTCTTGACCATGAATCTGGACAAGTCATACCTGGACAGGGCTTGGAAACACGCCTGAGGGACCACACCTCGGACATACAGCAGAGAGCTTCTTGCTATAGTGAAGAGGGGCTCATGGAGGCGGAAATGATAAAAGAGAACTTCCAGGTCTGTGTACAGGCGCTGAGGGAAAGCCAGTTGTGAGTTATAGAGTATTGCCAGCTGTCCATCTTCAGGTTTGTAAGTCCTGCAACAAAGCACCCCAATGTCAAGGTTGACACAACCAGTCATATTTTAAGTTTCCTCAGTTCTGCAGTACAGTGACTCTCTCTAATGACACTGTTTTGCTTTTGTCCTTTAGATGCAACCTCTTACTCTATGGCCTTCAATTCATATGAACTATGCAAAAACAACCATCAAAAAATCATTGCATCATTTCTTTTGAAGCTGAACAGCAAATATTTGAAAGGAAGCTTACCTCAGTTTCATCAGCCTTATTATACCCTCAAACACATTATTATATATATTTCTACTATAAAGACCATACTGCAGCAGTAAAACAAAGCTTCAGTTTAGGTTACAGGTGGGCACTGACAAGAGACAACATTTCATGCAATAAATAATTTCAGTAACTGCAACGAAGTGACTTGCATCAAACCAACCAACCAACCCACCCCTATAAAGCAAACCAACAACAACCAGCGCCCCCAGGAAAGCTTTAACAATGCACTACAGTGCTGGAAGAACACCAATTATTTTGAAGCATGAAATCTGAGGGAGAGAATCTCTTTGAATTTGTCACATTTTCCCCTAAATTCAAAGAAAGAAACAGCTCAAGGTCCAGCTTTCTGATGCTGACTTGTTTGGTTTATATCCCATTAAGCCTTTTTTGTTACTAATTACAACTGGCAGATTACAGAATTGCTTCCACAAACCAAGCAGCAGCTTAACAAAAAAAGGGACATGTTCCCATCCTTCTCATTGTAACTTTACATGGATGATCTATGGTGTAAGGTGGTACAGATGAGAAGGTTATGCCTGAAGTGAACCAGCCACCAGGACTCAGATCCACTAGAACTGCATGGAAAGCATCAGCTATGTACTCATCCATATACACAAAGGGACGGGGAGGTATGAATCAAATTGAAATCTTTGATCTAAGGAAGTAACTGATGAAAACCCTCAGTGATGAAAAAGTTCAAACTCTCTTACCTTTCAAAGTGTCTATCCCATAGTTTCTTGATGGCTTTGTCTTTTAATCCCTCCAAGACAAAGAGATGAGTTGCTCCATCCAGTAAGTGAAAGCCAGTAACAATATCCAACTCGGAAACTTTCTCAAGTGTGGTTTTCAGTTTTAATGCAGCAAGAGCCATTCCGATTAAGTGTACAGGCCAGCCATCCAGCTGGAGGGCTTTAGTATTGATTTCTTTAATCTCTTCTACCAAATCTTGCAATAAAGATGAGTTATTATAGTCAAAAATATAGATTATACAACCATATGGGCAACCTGTGACTCGAGCATCAGCAATTTCTGCACATGGTCCCAGTGGCACGGCTATTTCCACTCTTACTTTCAAAACTGAGTCTGATTCTAGATAATCTCCCATAGGCAGTAAGAAAGAATTACTCACTGATTCTGTTATTTTCCCATTTTTATCCTCACTGGAAGCATCTGTATTTGGAACTGAACAGTTACGGATGGGAGCACTGACATTCAAGTACTTTCTACCCAACAATAAATCAGTCAGACTGACTTTAGCTACGCCATGTGGATGCCACATTTCATTCTTCAACTTATTATAAGCTGTGGATTTGTAAGTGAGGAAGCTCACCTTCCCCACATGTTCATCAGCTTCATTGTCCCCAAACAAAGCTGGCTTTTTTGCGATGGTTTCCATGTTTCGATCCCGGTCATGAATTTCAATCTCCAAAGGTGGACCTCTCAGGTACGCTTCTAATTCCCCAGGTTTCATTGTCCCTGCTAGAAGTACATTAACATCCTTAAAGTAGACATGGGTTCCATGGATTTGTTCGTGAGTTCGATGAGGTGGGAAGTTGTGAAATTTATATTTGCAGTAGGTGGGGACACACAACGTCTAAACAACAAAAAATGGGGAGAAACAGATATCTGTAGCATTAACCTTTCGCTTTTTAACTTTTAACTTCACAGATCAATCAACCAGATTTTCCAGTAGATAAGATATGGGGGACGTACTTCATGGCACAAAGTATTGTCTTCCAAGGCAGCAAAAAGGCCATTCCACATGCCTGGATCCTGGGTCTGGGGAACAGGCTGCCCTCTTCGTTTGCCCCTCCTCAACTTTGCTGACTTCCCAAATATGTCAGAAAACCCCTCCTTGTTTCTAGATCACTGAAGGAGCAAGCATCCTGGGGACTGCAATGCCTCCTCAAGCTTGTTTGTTTATTCCTATGCATTCCTCTGTAGGATTCAAGGCCTAAAATAAATGCCTATTTGGGTTAGGAAATCCAACAAGTATTCAGAGATACTTTAGGGATTGGACTGTATGATCTCCATTACTGGTTTACAGATTTGAGGAAGCAAACAGGGGGATTCATTCCACAATACTAGTTGTGGTTCCTCCATGTGTACGCATCCATCAGTGTTGCAGCAGCCTGCATTGAGCTGAGGAGACATGTCAAGGCCTATCCTGACAATCCCCAATCTGAGACAGGTCATTATTCACGCAGTACCCTACTTGGCAAAGGAAACCAAGCCAAAACTTCCATGGTCACTCTGCAGACTGCATTAGAAACTGAGTGGCTTGCCCTCTGCTACTCACTATGTTAATTTCTGACATCTTTCCTGTTTCTCTTCATAAATGCCCAGCCTATGCTGTCATAAGCCCAGCAGTGCAAAACTCCACCGCAGAACTGTATGTGCCATTATAAAGTTCCTGACATCATAATATTAACCTAATTTCCCTTTCAGATCCACAATATATAATACTCAGAGAAGAGCCTTTTTAAAATAGCATTTCTGAAAATGCAACCATCTGACAAGAGAACAGACTCTTTAAGTCATCCCTCAGCATTTAGAGATACAAGACCAAAACCTTTAAACTATATCCTCACCAATAGGGAACTTTCTTTGCACACAGCACTTTTTAAGATGTGAAGTCTTTGCTGTTTTCTAAGTTAAATTATATTTTTAACACAGAGAAGGAAATGAACACATACTGCCTTGCCAGCAAATTGTCACAAACAATATAGCACTGGGACTGAACTAGCTCCCCTCTTACTACTCAAGACCCACTCAGAAATGAAACTGGGATGATTGTGTGTAAATTACTGCCCTTGGAAAGCACAGGGATCGCTGTTCTGCTGCCAGTGCCCATGACTGCACAGGCACCAACCTGACCGCAGGTTTTACAGGAAACATATCAGCCATATTCTCCAATTGTGGTAATAATAAGGAAACTTATCTCTAAAACCATGCCTATATTTTAAACAAAGCTGTTTGATGGTAACAGGGGAATCCTTTCAGAAAGAAGTAGGAGTAGGTGTTACCTGGAGCACTTCTATTGGTACAGGTTTGTTTGGGAGGCGGGTAGCTGAAATAATCTTTATAATCAGGGGATTCAATTCATGCTTTTGTCTTTCAGACAGCAGAGGTGTTTCCACAGTGAAGGTCACGTAAGCATCTAAAACTTCAGGAGTGTTTTCTGACAGGCGACCGATCACCGATTCTTGTCCTTTTGAAACACACAAGATTAAATACAATCCCATCAAGGCACCCCTATTTGATGCAATTAATGACAAACCTCCACTAAATTTGTATTAAAAAAACCCCAAAGTATTAACTGCTTCAAATATTATTTATCTTTTAAAACGGGATGAAAACAGTCCCCAAATCAGTGTCAGAACCCCTACCGGGGCTAACGCCTGCAAGCGCACACAAGTTTCTTTTTAAAGCTGCAAATATACAGTTCACATAAACACAAAACTTAAAGCACTTCAGAAACTTTTCATCAAAAATAAGCTCTTTGTTAAAGGTAAACAAGCACCTTTAAACAAACTGACTTCCCTGCAAGCAGCTTTGCCCCACTCAGCAGCTGAGTTCTGTGCTGCATATGGCACATTGCTACTTCTATCTGCGTGCACACAACAAAGGGGAGGTTTAACTCCCTACACATCAGAATAGGACAGCATATACTAATAATGAGTTTTAATCCAGTTACAGTCAGAAAACCCCAGAAACAGCCCACTCTAATCTGAGCAATATCCCGCTTCCAACACATTCTAAATCCAACAGGACACAAGAACTCAGATGCTGACAAATACAGCACAGAATCAGTATTGACATCCTGCCCTTCAGAGCACATGGATCCCTGGTCAGCCTTCCCCAGATTAAAACCAAATCCTAAATCTTTCTTAGCCGGACAGCTTTCATCCAGAATGTGAAAATCCCTAGGGATCTTTCAAGGCTGTTTCCACCAGGCAGACCCCCCAGCACACACGCTTCAGAGCAGACACAGAGTACACCCAGCTTGTTGCACCCTCCCTAACACAGTAATACCTGAGAGGAGAGGCATAGCATCTAGCTGCAGGGAAGCAATGCAGTACCTCTTTGCTGCAGTAGCATCAGTGTTTCTTTTAGCAACAGAAGCTTTTCTACCTGTTGATGGAAGGCAGGGATGCGCTGAGCGAGAAGGAGGAAATTTTTTGTGGCAATTAATCAAAGAAATGAATTATTCAGTGGGTGGCATAATTCAGTACTGTCCTTAGAAAAAGATGCTGATTACACACTTTACCACCAACCTAGGCTAGTATTTCAATATGCTCAAATTTCCATTGCAGAGTCCACTATATACTGCACTAGACACAGAATCCTTGCTTTACAAGAAAGTGAAATTTACAACAGCAAGCATTACAAGTTCATGGAATTACCCAAAATGAATTTATCTCTGCCACCTGACTATCACTTCCTTGGTGTCCTGGTTTTAGCAGTAGCAGTCATTTTTCTCTTTCTTGGTAGCTGGTGCAGTGCTGTGTTTTGACTTTCAGCTGGGAACAAAGCTGATAAAAATGATGTTTTAGTTTGGCCAAGGACTTTGTGAGCCTCATGCTCTGCCAGGGAGGAGGGGAAGCCGGGAGGAAGCAGGGACAGGACACCTGACCCAAACTGACCAAAGAGGTATTCCATACCACAGCATGTCATGCCCAGGAGGTAACTGGGAGTTAGCTGGAAGGGCTAGGTGGACTGCAGGGTTGGAGGAGGTTTCGGTCGGTGCTTGGTCGGGCTGGGGGGGCAAGTTATCGGTCGCCTGGTGATGGGGTGTTGTATTCTCTTCCCTTGTTATTTCCTTTATCATTACTATTATTGGTGGTAGCAGTAGTGATTTGTGTTATACCTTAGTTACTAAACTGTTCTTATCTCAACCCATGGGAGTTGCATTTCTTTTTGATTCTCCTCTCTGTCCCTCCAGGAGTAGGGGGAGGGCAAGAAAGGGGGTGAGTGAGTGCACAAGCTGTCTGGCTGTGGGTTAAACCACGACATGGATATAAGCATTAAAACATCTATCTGGTACTCTTTGCAACGCATATTCTATGCTGGCCCTGGTTTGTGACTATTCCTGTAATAAAAGGAACAGCAGAATGTTTTAAGGACAAATTTCCTTCCACTCAAGTGGAAAGAGAGGCTTTCGACATACCTAATGTTTTACGTTTTCATGTGACAATAAATATTAGCAGTACCAGAATTACACTGGGGAAAAAACATCCCACCCTGAGCATAAGCAACATGATAACCCGCATAGAGAACTCCCTACAAAGTGTGCAATTGTTCATCAAAAGTTCCTAAAGGAAAGATCCAATTGCCTTAATTTTGAAAGAAATAGTGTGTGGAAGTTTGGGAGCAATTGTGTTGAACTGATGAGCCATGGGGCTCCAGAGTCCTGGGAAGGAAAGCCCACGCCAGAGCCACAAGGTGAACACAGCAGATGTAGCTTGGGCTTAAGCTCTTCAAACACTCCCTGTGCTGCAACCTGAGCTGCCTATGGCCATGTGCACGCACACAGGAGGTCTCAAAGTCCCTGCCTATTCCTCTGCCTGCCCTGTTTCCAGTTGGTGTTTTCTGTACTGCTGTTACAAGGTCTACCCATTAAAGCAGGAGCACCACTGCCACTGTGCACAGCAACAGAAAACAGTAGTCATGTAAAGATTTGTGTGACGCTGTCGGTGCCTTCACTTACTTTGGCAGAACAATACCACAGCTGAATGCAATCACTTATGCCCAGTGATACTGATAATCAAATGTACTCTTGATAATGTACACTGGGAGTATGGTGTACTGCAACCCTGAGATGCTGCGCTGGTTTCGGGCCAGACAAGCTATTTAACACAGGTGAGTTAATATATGCTCCAGTGTGCACTGTTACAGTGCTATCATCTCCTCCCATCTTTCACAGGGCCTTTGTCAACTGTGAGCTACAGGTGAGAGAGCAAAGTATCACTCAGTGGGGCTGTGGTTTTCCATTTAACATAATGAACTAGCACTGGAAATAAAAATGGACTGTAAAGCACAGTGGAAGAAGCAATGTGAGTGATCTGAACCAACAGCTTGATAATTTCACAGCTGGAATGTGTTTTAGTTCCAACATCACTCTTTAACTGTTTTACAAATTTCAACATTGCATTTCCAAGTCCCTTGCAAATATCTATCACCTCACTCCTGGAACACTCCACATGGGAGAAAAGGACCAACATCATCCTCCCTGTTCTACATGACTCACTATGGACACTGTAAATCAATGTTTTATTAGGTGCTGAAGAAACACAGAAAGCTCATGGCAGAGTGAGGATCAAAGCACAGGTCCCACAGGTCTTTTTTTCTGTTTTAACCTTGAATTCGTGAAAAGAAATCAATATTAAAACCAAAGCTAGTCCTTAGTTCCATCCAGAACTTACCTTTTGTGATGGCTGCTTTGTCTCCTCTCACATTATCAATTCTATTCTCAGTTTCTTTTGAAGCTGAATTAACTGGAGGAGCAGCAACTGGTTTCTGCTTCAGAAGCTGGGTCGTATCCAGAAGTGGGGGTTTTGCAAATACCACACTTCTGAAACCATTAAAAAGATCTGAAGTTATGTAAGAAATACGGAAAATGCAAAACTCTATCCCTGCCACGCTGATGATCCCACCAAAACAAGTGCTTCAAATAAAACAAATCCAAGCCTAAAAGAGCTCAGCTGCCAGCATATACATGTAAAGGAGATCACAAAGGGTATCAACAGACCCATGGTCCTTCTGAGTAAGCGAGCAAGTAAGTACCTGAAGAGATGCATAAACTAAAACACCTTGTAGTACATATTACAATCCCTTACCTACAGATTTTTCTGCACATCTGCTTTGCTTTTTGAGGAAAGAGCAATACATCTGTTCTGTTACTGTTCATATTTGGTACACCCTGCAACACGATTCCAGATAAACCACTAATCTAGAATTAATACAGTTTTGCTCTATTATAGGAGCAAATCTTCCCCATGGGAAATGCAGCCAGGAAAGCTGTCACTTAGTTTCAGCTTTAACAAGCTTCCCAAAGTCTGTAAGATCAGCCACTGCCGCAAATGGTTCTTCACAAGACATCACACATTCTATTCCCTGAAGTACATATGTTCCTTACAAATTTGACATATTATTGCTGCTGAAAAATGAATATTAATCTGAAACAACAGAAAAGGCTGTTCAACAGAGATTAATCTCACTGCATTTTAAATCTCCCGAATAAATGATTTTGCTGTCCTTGTCTTCAGATACTTGATAAATATTGGAGCTGAAGGGTGGTAGTACAAGACATACCACAGTGAAAGTGTTTTATCTGCAAAGAAGAGATTCAGCCCTCAAGATTCCTCACAAAGGAGGGGCTGAATTGGTGGTGGAAATCCATGTGCGGTTCAAGGACATACAATGTTTGTCCAAGAAATTCTTCATCAGTAGTGACAAAAATTGGCCACTCTTTTGCTTGGCTTTATATGGGTGATTTGTAATAACAGCAGTTTGAGAATAAAGGCATTTGGTGATGGTTTGAGAAGTACAATATTTAATAATGAAGTAAGTACAGTTAAACACCTAGACAGATGCATTCACTCTACTTTTTTACACACCTATTATGACATTTCTTTGAGTTTTTTTAAGACTTTGATCAAACATTTTATTGCTGATTACATGGACTCCAAGACCTCTATGTCATCTTGTCACCTTTGAGTGCAACTAGTATACATGCTTGGGACACAACATCCAACTCTCCCCTCACAGTTTATCACGACCTCTTTAAGGTTTTCTGGTGCTCAATACTGTCTCCATATTATCAAATTCAATCTACAGCATTTTCTTTTAGATTTATTAGTAAGTGAAACTTCTTCATTTTATCCTTGACATTAAATCTTTCAAGCATCCTTTCCTCCTCATCCTCCCAGGAATTTTAATCCTGGAGGTCTAAGTTCTTCATCTGCTTCACAATCATTATTTTTCTTCAGACAAGCATCCATGCAGTGAGCAACAAATCAAGACTGCTGGCTGTGAAGCCTGAAGCAATGTAGGTTTATAGCATTGAAAAGAATAATCCATTACCCAGATTAAGCCGAGCATGTCCCAAATAACTCTACCTATCCTTAGAGACATTTCAAAAGGGATCATAGCTGGGAGTAGGGAGCCAGAAGGCTGTTGTGTCATCTTGCAGTACTAAAGATCATCAATGTTAAAAATACAGCTTTCTGAGATCTTTGTATTCCCTTTAAGACACAGCCAAAATTGTTGATACATGTAAAGGAAATTAAGGAATGAACAAGAGATTTTCGAATAATTGCTTTAGGAAAAATCTATATAAAGAAGTCTCCATGAGGTTTTATAAGTAAAACATCATGCTAAGAAAAGAAACAGTCCAGCTAAAGCTAAAAACAACGAGGCTGTTTCATTTGCCCCTAGTAATTAAAAACCCCCAAATCAGTGCAGATTCAGAGACTCTGCAGACCATCACTGTACACAGGAACCTCCAGGTGTTGGGAGTAAATGAAGCAAACTGTAGTGTGGAGATCACGGAGGTAACATGGGATTTAGTGGTGGATTTGTTGGAAACCTCCCCACTGTAGATGGAAAAAGCAAGGAAGGTACCAGATCATATGTGGGCATTAAGGATTTTTCTGGAAGCAGTCTGAGAGAAGAAATGCAGCATATAATGCCTGTGACTATCCTGTTCCCCAGCTGTAGACTTTTGATACAAAATGAGGGAAGAAGGAAGCGGATTATTTAGAGAAAAAAGATTCTTTTCCAGGTGTGCAATGAAGCAGCAAAAACTTGCCAATAAAATTGGCAAAATATAACCTCCTGGTTCACAGATTTGCTCTGAGAGTCAGCTGCTTGTAGATAGCTCACTAGCCCTCCATCAGGAATGACCACTACAAGAACAGTCCTTTGAACATGAAGCTAGAAACAAACATCAGCACAGTCACAATGCAGGTGGTACGAGAATGTTCAGGTGTATAAAAGAGCAGCAATGATGTAAGTAAGGATACAGAATCATACAATAGTCTGGGTTGGATGAAAGCTTCAAAGCTCATCTAGTCCAACCCTCCCACAATGAGCAGGGACATCTTCAACTAGGCCAGGTTGTTCAGAACACATACAGCCTGGACTTGAATGTCCCCAGGGATGGAGCATCCACCACCTCTTTGGGAAACCTGAGCCAGTGTTTTGCCACCCTCACTGTAAAAGTAACATTAATTAGTTTTATCCCATCTGAGCTTCAGTTTGAGCTCACACTTTCACTGGGTCATTAGGCTGTGATACCTCTCAGTACACTTCCAGTAATGATTTTGGAGGGGGTTAGAAAACTATCAGAATATTTCTACCTAAAAAATTATTGCTATTCCAGTTAATCTGTACTGAAAGTTAAGGTTGCCTGAAGGCTAAGCACATGCCCTTCATTCTCCAAAATACTGATCTCATTTGTCTGTGTTTCACTGGAACGTTGTTACTGCCATGGCATATACCAGAAATGTATGTAAGGGACCTGCAACAGAACAAGGAACTACACTTGCAGACTGAAACTGGACGAATAGCCTTCAAACAGCCCTGTACTTCAGCAATAGAGACGCTTATGAAAGGCAGAGCAAGTCCCACGTCAGGTAATGCCCTAAGGATCTACATTAAATTTTACACACTGTAGACACCCTTCTTTGAGCAGAAAGGCCATGCTAATGGGACACAAAGCAGCAGCAATTTACATTCTGAGGTACAAAGCAACATTTCACCAATGCTATTTACAGAGCAAAACCCCTACACGGTTTCTACAACACCAAGTCACTTTTGCACTGAGTATCTTCTCCCATTAACAGCTAAAATCCCATTCCAAAGGTTGTTTTTTCATTTCTATTAATAGAGATATGTAAAATATAATCGCGCTAGCCCAAGTGATGCTAGCAGTTATAAAGCTCCAGAGGGCCCCATTTATTTTATCATGCAAATGATATTAGCAAGTGGCATTTGCTCTCATATTTAAGAATACAGCACAGAAGGAAAGGGCTTGATTAGCAAAGGTTGTAACATGGTGGCATGAGCAGGAAGTGTCCACTCAGTCTATAAACCAGGAACTGAGGACTGCTGAAAACAGAAGAGGCAGCAAACAGAGCATGATGTAAGAAGCTGTAACAAGACACTGATTACAAATCAAGACTCTCTCAGATCTCCCAGTACAGCACCTTTGCTAAAGCAGTGCTCAGTCTGCAGCAGCTCGACAGGACACAGGCTGGCAACTTCAAGCAAGGTGGCCGGATTTGCTTAATGTTGGGAGAATGGGTTTTTTAAGATGCTTTTTCATGTAACAGAAAACTATATGAAATAAACTAAAGATTGTGTAATGTGCAACTGGACATTCTTGTTGATTTTCTGCATCTCTGCAAATGGCAGGTTTCTTTCCACAGCACAAACCCCACACCATCTGAGCTGCAAGATTCACACACAGATCCACTCTCGTGGCATACAAAAACACTCGGAAACATTCATCTCTATAGCTGAGTTCATAAATTTGTGTTGAAGGCACTAGGAGTCCCCTCATGGAGCTCATTATCTTTTGAGCAGAGGAACAATCTGACTACATCTTGTTCAGGAGAAATACGTAACAGCAGAATATGAGAAAGGCCATCACAGAGCTCAGGAGCGGGTTCATTCTCTTGTGCTATCACCCATTCATGTTTTAGGAACAAAACGGGAACCTTGAGAAAGTCATTTAAGAGTTCATACATTTTTAGGTGACATTCTGGATGACGCATTGGAGATACACCCTAGTCATGACTCATTTCTAGTTCAAGTGCAATGTTTTCTGCTATGAATAACACCCAGGACAACACGATTCCTTTTAATGTTCTAGTTTCTCAAGCCTGGAACCCTCAAACCTTTTTGACATTTTGAGAGAGTTACAGACTAATTGGTAGAAATTTACCACTGAAAACTCACTACAAAAGACTTACTAAACCAGAGGATGAATGACAAAAAAGCAGAACAGCACAAATAGGGAACTATGCTATCACAGCAGTATGAACTCAGGATTACTTCAGCTGCACTACAACATTACCTCATGGCAACGTGACCCAACACAAATTCATGGTTGATGAGCTGATCCATGAAGCTCAGAAGCCAGCAAGGCCTGGTCTGTTAGCAGCTGTTCTTATGACACTAACTTCAACCTCCCAGAATGAATGAGGTGCCCTCCACAACCCCACTCCTCACTTCAGCCACTTCCTAACACGTTCCATTGAGCAAGTTGAGCAAGTAGAGTAACTCCTCGTTCCTCCTGCTTCTAGGCTCACAGACACTATCGTATCATAGTATCATAGAACAGTTAGAGTCGGAAAGGACTTTAAGATCACCTAGTTCCAACGCCGTGCAGTGGGCATTTCCCACATTATCTGGAGTCAAAAGGTACAAGTGAACAGAAGAAAAACCATGCAAAAACAAGTAACCCAAGCAAAGTCTGTTATTTTATGTAATTATTTCATTAACAGCTATTTCACCCCCAATGTACTATTAACAAGATGCGTTAAAGGGAATCATGATGCTTTTGCTCCTTTCCTGTCATCAGTAGTTATTGGTGCAAAAAGCAGTGGTTAGCCATTTCTGAAACCACGTAATGATTATAAACCATTAAAACCCTATAATACTGAAGAACAAATGCATCTTACATTTCTTTTTAACACCTGAACATTTCCCACTGCAACATTCTCACCTCGCTCCATCTGTCCTTGGTGGATGTAGCGAACCACCATCAGCTGTTGCTGGTCCATTCAGATCAGCTTCTGCTGCTGAATTAAGACAGGTTTGACATTTGTTATCAAGTATTTTTGTGTTTTGGTAACTCCAATCAGACTAACAACATTCATCTGTAAAGCTCGAGGAAGACATGGTAAAAAGTCATATGCAAGTTGGATTTATAACTTGCAACCATGATCCATTCAGGTATTGCTTCCATGTCAAGGATGAGTTTGAATAACCATAAAATAAAACAAAATAAAATAAAATAACTTTAAGCGATCACGCAGAGAAAGTAAAATATTACGAAGCCAAATTTTGTTTCCTAGAAAAACAATTTCCATGGAAATTATCATGCTGCAATTTAAAACAAAACTAGGAATGAATAAGTAATGAAAGTGAGGAGAGAATACCCAAATAATAGTTTGTTAGTGCAGAACACTCTGTATGTACTTAAATAGATACTGATGTCAATTACATACCTTAATGCATGGAATTCTGCATACATAAGAAATTACACATTACCTTTGCTTATTTATTTTAATTGCTATTCTAGACAATATTCACATTAAACCGGTAATGTTAGCAGTGTCCAGATCTTTTACACAATGGGTAGAAATGTCCAGATACTTAGTCACTGGTTTATACATGCCAAAAGCATGGTGTACTACGCCTGTTTCCAAATGTCATTTAATTACAGACACTCTACAGTCACAGATTTCAGTGTTAATTACCCAACACTTAGCCTCACAGTGTGTCAGCCTTAATTACAGTGAGATTAGAGCAAATCAACACTGTATGAATGGCAAGGAGGATTTCCAGGTGAATAGATGAATATTTCCCAAACAATAAAGAATAAACTTGGCCAATATCTGGAAGCAAGCAAAGGGAGAGCAATACAATATTAGGCTTCCCCTGGCTGTAAACAGGATACTGAGTGCCTGTAACAACATACCCGTGTTACAGAGCCTGAGGGCTGGCACACCCAACAGGGCACATAGTCGTTCAAAGTCAATGAAAAGAAACGTAAAGAGATCTTCAGGCCATTCCCCCCTTCCTGAACACAGCCTGCGTTAGCGTGGAGACACAAGGCTGGCACCTTCCCGTTCTCAGAACCAGCTGTGTTCCTGAACAGCTTCCCACCTTTGACGATTTCCCATGTCTGGTCCATCGCTTCTCTCTGGGCCCATCACTAGATGGCACTACTACCAATACAGATGCACTTTGCCAGCCTCATTACCCCAGCAATAGATCTGCTCTCCTTTGATGGTGCCCGTCACTAATCACTAGAAAAAGCTAAAACGATGTACAAGGATAACCACGCGAAGGTGGTGACACAGTGCTGCCAACATAACGTAAGCAGCCCTGCCCCAGCAGGGGAATTCACAGCATCTGCTGAAGCTGCAGCAGCTTACTGCAGTACCCAGGTTTGTTTCCCTTTGCATAATTCTGTCTTCAGATTTGGAGAGCCTGGTTTTGTTTGTGGCTCTAACAAATTGACAGGCCTAACACAGAGGGAGGACTTAGCTGTTAGTCTTGTTTTAAACCATAAGAATCTAAAATTAAGGGAAAAACAAACAAGCAAAGATTTTGTTTGCATTTTCACCAGGTTACTGAAGTCCAAATACAGTTTCCTAATAATTGCTTTCCAGTACTTTTGGGCCATGTTTTGTTCACAAAGTCATTCTATGAAAGCAACTATTAGATTGCAAGGCCTAAAACCAGAAATCTTCAAAACAGGTCTATGCTGCTTGGATTCAGCCCTTAGGAACATGGTATCCAAGACCTCAGGTGATGATTGAACACATTTCTCCATGGTCCTCTGCTCCAGGTAGCACAATATTGTTCATTGTGTTGCTCAATGAAAGACTATTTCTAAGGTTAGCTTTTTCTTACTGCACAATGCAGGTCTGGGTGACAATTCTTGCAAGGTACCCAAGTAGTAATCCTGGTATAGCATAGGAATACTGAATTCCTGCTATAAAGTTCTGCAACACTCACTGTTGAAGGATCAGTTTGCTTTCTCAGCTTTTGGTTCTTTTCTTTACAAAACACTTTCTGTGAGCCAGCTACATCTCTTTTCTGTCCCAATTCTATTCCAAAGCTATTTAGAACTTGTACTAACTATAATGCATCCAGTCTTCCTGCAACACCTTGCTCCCTCGGTCACTTCCTCAGCTCTGCTCCTGTCTCCCCATCACTGCACCCCCCCTCTCTTTTCACCCACAAGCCAGTTTCCACATTTTATACCTTCATCAGGAAGGGCTGAAGGCTCCTCCTGCACCTTAGGCTCCTTTGTTGCTTTGATTTTCATACAGCTGGGTGCTGGCTGACTCTCTTCAAAGAGTTTTCTTTGCAATAGCACTCTGTGTTTTACCTCATCTAACAGGGAAACAAAATGAAATAAAGGAAATTCCCCAGCTTAGACTGCATTGTTTAGTCTGGTTGGGTCACTCAAATGTTGAGCAATGATTTTCCCATGGCACCTCCTCTCCCTTTCCTACCATCTATAAGAAGCCACTCAATTCGTTCATCTGGAGATGAAAATCACCAAAGTCCCGGAGCCTTACCTCAAAGCATAAAGAAGAAATAACTATTCTATGATTCTAAGAATCTAGCACAATGATACATATTCATAGAATCATAGAATAGTTAGGGTTGGAAAGGACCTTAAGATCATCCAGTTCCAACCCCCCTGCCATGGGCAGGGACACCTCACACTAAACCATATCACCCAAGGCTTTGTCCAACCTGGTCTTGAACACCACCAGGGATGGAGCATTCACAACCTCCCTGGGCAACCCATTCCAGTGCCTCACCACCCTAACAGGAAAGAATTTCCTCCTTATATCCAACCTAAACTTGCCCTGTTTAGGTTTTAACCCATTACCCCTTGTCCTGTCACTACAGTCCCTAATGAAGAGTCCCTCCCCAGCATCCCTATAGGCCCCCTTCAGATACTGGAAGGCTGCTATGAGGTCTCCACGCAGCCTTCTCTTCTCCAGGCTGAACAGCCCCAACTTTCTCAGCCTGTCTTCACACTTTTATATTTTCAGAAGAAAACATCAGGGCAGCTGAGGCTCATGGCAATGCCCCAATGCCCCCCCAAATTCACAGCCCTGTCAGGGAGGGGACTGCTCCCCACCTCCTCCAAACCTTAGCTTCAAGAGGGGAATCTCTTAATCCTTTTTCTCACCCTCCTCCTGGGGCTAAAATGAAAGGCTGCCCTTGAGAAAATACTAACTACAAACAAGTCTCCATGCCTCAACAACAGCCTCTCAGGTGCTGTCAGACATGTCCACCAACTGCAGAGCCTCTTTGCTGATCCCCCCCTCCATACCTGAGCAACTATAATCACAAGAAACCCAACCCTGCATTGACTAGCACTGTAAATCTTATAACCCCACAAATCTCTATCCACTGATACACATGGGAAAGACAGAACACTGCCAGCATTGTATTAATAGATTCTGCATACTTTAATAGTAAAATTAATTGGTCCAGTAGTTTCAGGACATCAGAACAAAGGATACCCCATTTTCTATAGGCTTAATCTCATGCTTAGTTCTCTGGTATTTATTAAGGACTGAGATCTCATTTCACACGTGTCTATGAGAGCCCTAACAAGGTCTCTCTCCTCTATTTAACTAGTAAAAATCAACTAGAAGTGATAAAATAACTGTCTTTGAAACCACTGACCTTCAAGCTAGCATGGCCAAACTCTAAGGATACACTCAAGTTATGGACTTGTGGGAGACAACAAGGGAGAGAGGATGAAATGGAAAGATGCACAGCAGGAAAACGTGGCTGTACAAGTTTTGCTGCTTCTCAGGACAACAAAAAGGAAAATCCACGTTTGAAAAGTGAGCACTTTCATTACTACCATTGCTACTCCGCAGCATCAAGTAACTCACTAGTTTTGAAGGTTCACATTACCAGACTAATTCTATTTTCCTGCCATCAAACTTTGCAGAAACTGGCTCCTGCATTCACTGAAACACCAACAAGGAGGAATTATTTTAGTGGCAATGACACACGAATGTCAAATAGTCTCTACACTAATTCAGCAGTAGGTACAGTCACAATTGCAAGGTATGTTTTATAACATGCCTGTTTGCATTAAACTCACCAACTTCCTCTGCATCATCTTCTATTGTAGCAGTAATATCTGCTTTACTAGGCCTTGCTTTTGAGGACACGTTTTCCTTGGCATCCCAGATCTTTATAATTATTTTGTGATCTCTTAGTTTTAGTAGATATTCATTCGTGACACTGATATCAACACTAAGGTTCCACGATATCCACATCTTGTTGTTTTCAAACCACGGTGTCATTGTCTATGGAAACAAAAGATGGAAATCATTACAGGAGCTGACCAGTACAAACGAACTTGTGTTGCCCTGATGACCGCTGTCACCACTGCTCCCAAACTGTACATTCCTTGTTTCTCCAGGTTGGGCTGGGTTTAGCATCACACACACACACAGACCCTTCAAACATAGCAGTCTCATCAAGTCAAGGTCTGATATGAAGACCTGAGGTTAAGAACAAAAAGCAATGAAGCTGGGGGGGGATTTGGAACTAGATGATCTGGAGGCCCATTCCAGCCCTAACCATTCTATGATTCTATGAGATCATGGACTGAAGGCTTAACAGAATACTGTAAAAGCAATACACAACCTTAAAATGGTGAGTTGGTATTTATAAAAGTGAAGGAGCAGCATTAAATTTGACACGTTTACCAGCATGTATATGTTGGTAAAGAGCTGCCAATGTAACACATTTCAATCAGCACCTTCACAAGTGCATTGTGTGTAATAAAAACATTGAGCTGACACTCAGAAGTGCAAAGCAAGCAGAGGGCCATCAAACAGACTGTCATGCAAAGACAAAACCTGACAGGCTGCTTTCAAACCAACAGCCTCTCTCAAAACAATAGTTCACTATTTTAGCACCAGCACTTTAGAAGCAATGTATCCCATTCCTGGGGCCCTGGATTTGAATGCGCAGGATTATTCAGTTAGATGCAGGCCTGAACAAAATACAATTTGCAAAATTCTTCAAGTACCTTAAAAATCTTTTTCTCCTCAAAAAGGATCAGAGGCATAATGGTTTTATTGTTGTTAATAAAATGGATGGTTGCTTTTGAATTATTATATCATTAATATGGTACCCGAGAGATAGAGGCTATAGTCTGAAGTAAACTGATGATCTAGGAGAAAAGAAAATCTATCACCCTCTTATTATAAAGGTAAGAATACTGCTGATCTGGACCAGCAGAGTCAAGCTCTGTCTTTGATATTCATCCTGTATCTGTGTGTGCAGGTAAGGCTTAAGCAGCTGTTAAAACGATATGCAACTACATCCCTCCATATGTGAAAACACTCCCTATAAATTCAACATTTTGGATTACTTCATTTTATTCTATCTTTTACCTTGGAATGTGAGTCTACAAATAGCTTTACAACCATGCCAGACACCAGCAAGTCCACTTTCCTAGGTATGAGGTCATCTGGTAGAAGGAAGTACTCAATTTGATAGCGATATTCCACTCTTGGAACAGCTGCTACAGACAGTCTCCTTCCTCGTGTACCAGGGTGATTTGCTTTCTTATCCCTTCGCTCTAGAGAGAGTATCAGAATTATTTGGAAGCATGAAATGTTATCAAAGATGATAGACTCAGTGGGAATGAATACATTCTGCAATGACTGAATGTTAACAGGCATTTCAGTGTGACAGCAGAAAAATGATTGACTGAACATAGGTAATCGGTGAACATGAAACTCTTCTCGCAGTGCCCAGTCCTGCAGTTCTCACCTAGGTTTAACTATGTTAACAGTCCACAATGTTCCTGGAACTCCCTCTTCCTCCTCTCTTCCTGCAGGGTGGTGCCCAGTGATTGCCATTCCCAAGGAACAGATGCCCTTTACGCAGGGGACTTCTACATGGCAGAGTTCCACACTGCAGAGGGAAGGCTGAAGGTACTCAAACACCCCAACACCACAGGAGGCTCGTAACTCAACTGCTGAACAGCTGATACCTCCTCTGAAAATGACAATACCACCTTTAAACTATCCAAGATCATAATTACCAAGTTGAGAATCCACATCAGAAAAACAGCTTTCCTTTCATTATTAGGCAGTGGCTGGTTAATAAGCACCAGTGAAGGTCATCAACTGGAATAGCTGTCAGGAAAGGTTTTCAGTCACTCCTGACAGTCACCCAATGGTAAGAGGCTCCCACGTCCCACTACCACTTTCTTGAGCCATCCACCCAGGCACATTCAAATCAACTAGCGTCTTTTCGAACATTATCTCCTTAAACCATTCAGGGCCACACAAATTTATGATTAGAAGGGTTTTGAGGAAGACCTGTGTCAGGAACTGACCTGCAGGAGGGGCAGGGAGAGCTAGAGAAACTGTCAGTGTGCTGCTCACAGTATGGGAGCTATCCGGCCTCCCTGAGCTCTCTTCAGACTGGAGGTACGCGCAGCTTTCCCCCTCTGGAGTCAGCTGTCCATCCCCTCCAAGCACCTTAGGGTGTTCCGTTTCCACGGTGCTTCCAGAGCAGGGTGTGTTCAAATTTGCCATCTCTGCTTCACCATCTTCCTCTGCCTCCTCTTCTTCCACTGCCTCTGAATTCTGCTTTTGCTCTGCCATCCTGATGTACAGCCCGACAACAGACTCGAAGGCTACACAACAAGACAAACAGCTTAATGTTAGTGTTCAAATAGGGATCCCCAGTAGAAGGAAGGCAGGCGCAAGGAAGGATAGCACTAGCAGGTCCAAATATTCCAGTCTCAAAAATGCCTTAAGAGTGCTTAACACACATCCCTGGACAACAATGGGCTCATGTTTGCATGCAGGGGCAGTGCACACCAGCCTGCAAATGGCCAGCCAGGCACCACGCACCACTGCATCGAGCCCAGGACAAGGCAGCGCGCAGTGGGGTGGCACTGGGCCAGGGGAGACCTTAGAGCAGCTCCAGTGCCTAAAGGGGCTGCAGGAAACCTGGAGAGGGGCTTGGGACAAGGGCCTGTAGGGACAGGCCAAGGGGAATGGCTTTAACCTGCCCAAGGGGAGACTGAGATGAGACACTAGGAGGAAGCTCCTCCCTGTGAGGTTGGAACTATCCCTTCCAACCCAAACCATTCTATGATGCTGTTTCTATGATTCTTCGTAGAGCTGCGCCAAAGTGGAGTGAGCCACAGCACCCAGTGACTGAAATGTTAGCGTGTGGCTAACTGCTAACTGTCCCCAGCTTCAGTAACTTATCTGTGGAGCTTCCATCTGCCAGGTACTTCTAAACACGGACTTCACATGCTCCAAACAGGGCAGGCTGTCCTGCCGACAGACTTGCACCTTGCCTTCATTTTAAAATGCTTTTCTCCTTGTCTGCAATACCTGAATGGCCTGTGTATTGTGACGAGTAGGGAGCTGGCCACTTGAACCAAACTCATGGAGAATACGGTTGATATGCTGGAGGGAAGGAATGCCTTGATATGCTTGTGAGGTGGGCTGATGCCAACCTCATGAAGTTTAACCATGACAAGTGCAAGGTCCTAAACCTGGGTCGAAGCAATCCCAGGCACAGCTACAGGCTGGGCAGAGAAGAGATTCAGAGCAGCCCAAGGAGAAGGACTTGGGGGTGCTGCTCGATGAGAAAATGAACATGAGCCGGCTTCAGTGTGCGCTTGCAGCCCAGAAAGCAACCGTATCCTGGGCTGCATCAAAAGGAGTGTGACCAGCAGGTCGAAGGAGGTGATCCTGCCCCTCTACTCTGCTCCCGTGAGACCTCACCTGGAGTACTGTGTGCAGTTCTGGTGTCCTCAACATAAAAAGGACATGGAACTGTTGGAACAAGTCCAGAGGAGGCCACGAGGATGATCAGGGGACTGGAGCACATCCTGTATGAAGACAGGCTGAGAAAGTTGGGGCTGTTCAGCCTGGAGAAGAGAAGACTGCGTGCAGACCTCATAGCAGCCTGCCAGTATCTGAAGGGGGGCTATAGGGATGCTGGGGAGGGACTCTTCATTAGGGACTGTAGTGATAGGGCAAGGGGTAATGGGTTAAAACTTAAACAGGGAAAATTTAGATTGGTTATAAGGAGGAAATTCTTTCCTGTTAGGGTGGTGAGGCACTGGAATGGGTTGCCCAGGGAGGTTGTGAATGCTCCATCCCTGGCAGTGTTCAAGACCAGGCTGGATGAGGCCTTGGGTGGCATGGTTTAGTGTGAGGTGTCCCTGCCCATGGCAGGGGTGTTGGAACTGGATGATCTTAAGGTCCTTTCCAACACTAACTATTCTACGATTCTATGATTCTATGACATTTCCTCCACATCATGCACACCCAGCAGCTCCCTGCACCCATCCTTGACACTGCAAGGAGCAGGGCACGAGGCTCTGCAACAGCAGTCCCGTCACTGCAGCAGCCTCAGTGCCAAGCAGTGGGGATAGTGTCCTCAAACCAGCCCAGAGCTGCACAAAAGCCTGTGTGCTGACTAATGCCTGTCTGCATTACAGCTGGACTTCTATCAGCCATCTGAATCTGAAACGTATTGCCATGGTGATAGTCATGGTAGAGTGGGCAAAGGAAGGAGGCAAGGATATCAAACTAGGCATGGATACCATACTACAGTGGTATTATGGAGCTAACACATCAAGAAAACGTTAACTTCTCAGTAAGTGGAGGAGCGTGGCCATCCAAATGACTCCAAACCAGATGCAGGTCTGGTTTTTGGAGGCAGTAACATGGGATTATCCACACACTGAACCACAGAGCACTGAGTGATGTGAGCTCAGGCACAGCAGTTATTCATTAACTCCCTTTCCAGAGGCTCAGAAGATCTAAGCTATAACTCTCCATATATGCACAACTTAGGTATCAACTTCCCCTTCCTTAGACAGCAGCAAAACCATTACAGGGTTAGTTCAACAATTACACACCGAGTAATTACAAATTAGTTTGTCTTCTTGCACAAATCACCCATCCCATTCTTCACACGCACAGCTCAGTATTTAACCTGCTTTACTCTGCTCAGTTTGACAGTATTTCTCACAAGGGGCTGGAGCGATTCGTTTTACTGATTCCTGTTCCCTGTTTCCCCACATGATGATGTCTCACAGCCCACCATTAGGAACTCAGGCTGACACCTCAATTGTCTGTGGAAAAGCAGCGGGGTGGAAATCAAAATGCCAATAGAATAAAACATGGTTGTCATGAAACTATCCTGATGGATAAAAGCTTCAGCATCTCATTCTGTGAACAGAAGAATGAGCAGATTCCCATGTGCCACTCCTGTGTCTGCTGCTGCCTTTGTGCAGGGGTCTGGTAGTTCTCTTTCAGACAAACACAATGAGAACACCTGAATTTTTCATACAAAACTGAAAAGCAAGTATCCCAGACTGGTTTCTTTTGGAAGGGACCTTAGGGCTCCTCCAGCTCCAACCCCTGCCATGGGCAGGGACCCCTTCCACTGGAGCAGCTTGCTCCAAGCCCCTGTGTCCAACCTGGCCTTGAACACTGCCAGGGATGGGGCAGCCACAGCTTCTCTGGGCACCCTGTGCCAGCGCCTCAGCACCCTCACAGGGAAGAGCTTCTGCCTAAGAGCTCAGCTCAGTCTCCCCTCGGGCAGGTTCAAGCCATTCCCCTTGGCCTGTCCCTACAGGCCCTTGCAAATCCTTAATTATTAAACTGTAAATCTTAAATCATTATTGTCCTTGCAATTCATAGAATCATAGAATAGTTAGGGTTGGAAAGGACCTTAAGATCATCCAGTTCCAACCCCCCTGCCATGGGCAGGGACACCTCACACTAAACCATCTCACCCAAGGCTCTGTGCAACCTGGCCTTGAACACTACCAGGGATGGAGCGTTCACAACCTCCCTGGGCAACCCATTCCAGTGCCTCACCACCCTAACAGGAAAGAATTTCCTCCTTATATCCAATCTAAACTTCCCCTTTTTAAGTTTTAACCCGTTACCCTTTGTCCTGTCACTACAGTCCCTAATGAAGAGTCCCTCCCCAGCATCCCTATAGGCCCCCTTCAGATACTGGAAGGCTGCTATGAGGTCTCCACACAGCCTTCTCTTCTCCAGACTGAACATTATCCAACAGTTTGGTGCTCTTTTCACACCCATGCAAGACCAAGGCTCATATCCTAGATCCCAGTCTTCCACTTCAGCCCTCAGATGGGAAGCGCTTTAGCTAATCCTGCTGGTCACCCACCAGACCAGGCTGCACCCAAACAGCAATGCTCCTGCTCTAAACAGGCTGTGATCTGTGCGTGGTGCTTTCCTCAGGACAGCCAGTTCCACAGCCCAGCCCCTGACCTGCAGGCAGGAGACCCGAGTCTGCCTCTTCTCCTCCCTGAGACCTTGCTGCACCTGCACCTCCTGCCCGAGGTAACCCTTGGGTAACCCATGGGGATATTTCCTGCTCCTTCTGCTGAAACTGGGAAGGAAGTTGAAGACTTGTTGAGCTCAGTGGAAAAGTGAGTCTTCAGGTCCACTGTGGTTTGCTGGAAGTGCCTGGAGAGTCTTGCAAGCAGGGAATAGGACACATGCCCCCCACTTGCTGGCAAAGCCCAAACCATCCAGCCAGAAACTCACACTCACAGCTCCTCTCGGGCAGAGGCTCGGGGCTGTACATCCTCAGCAAAGGGCATAAAACCTCAGAATAACAAGGAGTAGGGGACACCCACATGCTTTGTGCCCTCTAACCCTATGCAGTGCTCTGTCCAGCATGCCTTCTGGGGGGACTGTGTGCCAAGATGTCCAACTTACCCATAAGGAAACTGACTCCAATTTTCCAGGGATTTCAGGTTCTAGATGTCATGGGAATGGCCAGGCAGGCAGAAAATGGGTCTCTGCACCAAGGCTGAAGCTTCCATCACCCTCCTTTCATCTGCTCCTTACAGTCACTGTACCTCCATTCCCTTGCCTGTACACACAGACTTAGTCATCTCTAGTGTTTAGGAATAACCAGGAGAAAAAGTGCTCTAAAAAGGCTAAATCTAAACACTACATGTTTATCCTGAGAACCTACAGTCTACAGCAGAAATTAAGATGGAACCAATGTTTTAGAAAGAAATACTTCTCTAAAGTAATTTAGATAGATGCTTTACAAGGGGGGGCAAACCCCATCCCAGAGGCTCAGATCATGTCTGCTTCCTGCAGCCAGCACCAGAACTGCTGCCAAACTTATCAGCCAGAGAAACAGAAAACCAGGAGTAACACTGACTGAAGCACTACAAACTGAAGTCTGGCCTCATCCCATTGTGCCTTTCCAATTTTTCCCATCCATTTACTCTGCAGTTTGTTCATAAAAAAAAGAAGCACTTCCCCCCAAGCACCACTAATTCCAGGTTGAAAGCTGTAGATTTCTCTTTTACTGCAGAAGAGCCTGCAAACTGTTCCAGCTGCTGAATAGCTAAGAAATGTCAAACACAACACCTGGCTCTTCAGAGCTGCAGCTGTTTCCTCTGCACACTACATAACATGTCATTTATTCCCTTCACATAATTCATGCCAAGAGAAAGACCACAATCTAATTAGTCATATCACTTGGGATAAAGCCGGAGCTGCAGTGAGGTAAGGTCTTCTGTTAACCCCCATCGTCTCCCTCAGCTCCACAGCAAGGGAGGCCCCAGACACCAGGTCCTGTTCCTGTTTCACACAGACTTTCTCCTTACGTTCAGAAGCTTCCCAAGGTTCCTGATATCAGGCACTGCACCTCTCTCCTCTACCCACCCAATATCCACCTTCATGTTTCTAAACCCGCAGCTGGTCATCGATGCAAGTGAGCTGATCAGTGACATCCAGCTTGGAGGCAGTGATCATGCACTGGTGGAGTCTGCAGTCCTGAGGGAGGTGGCACAGGCAAAGAGCACAGTCAGGATCCCGCATTTTAGGAAAGCTGACTTCCAGGAGACATTCAAGGCCAGGCTGGATGTGGCTCTGAGCAACCTGATCTAGGTGAAGATGCCCTGCTCATTGAACAGGGGGTTGGACTAGACGAGCTTTGAAGGTCCCTCCAAACCAAACTATTCTGTGATTCCATGATCTTCACAGCCTCTTCCCCAGTTTGCCAGAATTGTCCACCTGCTGAATGGATGTGTTCAGCTAAAATCTTATCTGTATGAGCACCCCATACAAACATGCTGCAGGCAGGAGCAGTGCTACACCACAGCCAGATATGTTCAGTCACATTCTTCCTTCTTTGTCTCACTGTATACACAGGGCTGTCCAGCACATGGGACCTAGCGGACAGAAAGACAATGCCCAACATTTCCGGCATTGCAAGTGTCTCCACGAACATGCCAAGAACGGCACTGCACCACTAATATTATTTTAACCCCTCTCTGAAGTTCTTTGTGGAAGCAGCTGTCTCAGGAACAACCATTTTAAAAGGATCGACAGCATCATGGTATGGCTTTTTTGGGAAGAGTTTGGAAAACAGATTTTCGGTACTTAGCACTCCATTTTCACTTTTCTCCTTGAAAGTTGGCAAGGAATAGGGGGTTTTCACTGTAATGAAGTGATCTTCGTGGCAAGATTAGCATCTTGCACAGTCCCACACTGCTGGCTCTGTGTAGTGACCAACAACCCGCTGCACCAAATGAGACCAGACCATGGGTGTCATGGAACATCAGACATGAGCTGTACTGATCCTTGGTCCTGTGACACATATGAACCATGAAATACAATGTAAGGACAGTTAAGCTCAAGCCACTTTTATCTATAAATGTTATGTGTCTTAACTAATCCCACATCTGCCTCATACAATTTAAAACATTCCAACAATGATGCTGGCAAGCAAGCTAAAGGCTGGTCATGGAACCTTTTAACATCTTAAAGGAAAACTCTCCAGTTCACTAATTTCAAAAGCAGTATTCTAATATACATACAACTTCCAGCTATTACCACAACACTGCAGAAAGAGCCATTCCAGTCAGGTCCTGCTTTCCCACCAGTTCTTTCTACAGCTGGGTCTCCTTCAAGACACTTTCACAGCACTACCAGGACTGGGAACAACTCAGTAAAGACAAAGTCCTTGAGCACTTGATAAAATGCTGCCAGCTCTGAGCAGGCTTAGAGAACAAGTCAAGGAACAGGTCAACCTTGTCTGGGTCAGGAGTAGTCTTAATCTTGCTACACTTGGGAGTAAATAAAAGAGCTGTTGTCATTACACTGTGACAGCCTTTTCTGTACCTCCAAAGGAAGGAAGGTTCGGGCTGCAACAGGGAAGGTGACCTCTACCCAACATAACTCCCTCGTCACAGAGAGCTTGAAGTGACATTCAGGTTTCTGTGGCCCCACTGTTTTCGCAGTTGTCCAGTGTCTGAACGCCTTGGGTCAGGTGGCTGTTGTGCAAGAAAACCTGATGTAAATCCCCACTGCCCAGCAAAGGGGCTTTTCCTGAAAACTCAAACAAAAACCAATGGCCAAAGGTCTGGGACATTTTGCTGGTAACAAGTATCTGCTTTGTTGCCGAGACAGAGCTTTGGTGAACAGGAATTGGCATCATTGTTACATTCTCATTTCCTGGTTACAGTCATAACACAGAAAGCCAAAGATTTGTCAGTGCCATTTCTGCCCTTTGCTCTTTCAAACCAGAAACCCAGCAGATGGGCAACAAGGAATTCCACAGAGGCCCAACAATGCCTCTCTTCCAGCCAGAGACACCACAAAGAAAGCCAACTGAAAGCCATAGGTGCTAAAGCACAATTTACAGTGACAGGTTTATAGCCTGGTAAAGATTCTGGCAGCCTTTAAATCAATTCTTTCCACTTGATAAATATTTTTACAACTGAAGCTAGCCAGACCAAGCCAAGTTTGAATAATTGCATTGTCTGACTGCAGGGCCTCAATGCTTTAGCTGGCATTTGGGGTCAGCCAGTTTGGTGTGTGTGGACAACAGATGCAGAGTTACACAGCATCTGCTAAACACATTCAAGGTTTATGGTTTTGTCTTTCCTGTCTCTCTCTGGTGCTGCATTACAAAGACATTTTGACCCTGAGTCCACTTCTTACATTAATAATATTATCAGACAAGCTCAAATTTTAGAGAGGTATACATAGCTACAAGAGTGAATAAGGAATATATGCACATCCACTTCACCCAGTTACTCCTCAGGTCACTCAAAAATATAAGCTACAAGTTATGTGTTACTTCAGACAAGAGGAAAACAGAAGAAACAATCTTTAAAGGTACAAGAATACACCCAAAAACCCCACCCCAAGAACATGAAGCAAATCCATGAGCTGGACAAAATATTCCTGCCAACTGCACAGTTACAAAACACACTTCCATTTCACACAATAAATACAAGGATCGCCAGGATAAAACTCAGCCCTTGGGAATAGGAAGGCTGATCCTGTGGAGCACTTTGGTCCCTGGCAGACCCATGTCTGGTTACCTGCTGTAGGTGCACATCTCTGGTCCTTGCCCAGTCTACAGGGAGGACGTGGGACCTGCACAGCACTCTTTCCACCAGCCCTGCCTCTCACCCTATCTGCTCTTGATGGGTCTTCCTGGGTGGACTCCAAACCTGGGTCACCACCATCGCATGTCTGGGGCTGTTTAACAGAGCCTGTTACCACCACCCTAGCTCAGACACCCTGCTCAGACCCTGGGCACAGCTGGTGCCATGGTCACCTCTGGCTCCTGGTGCATCCCTGCCATAGGAGGAGCCCTGCTCCTGCGGCTCACTCCATCGCTGCAGCTGCACTCAAGAGTGCAGGTCCACCTGCATGGCCAAATAGTGACAAAAGGAGTGTGACCAGCAGGTCAAAGGAGGTGATCCTGCCCCTCTACTCTGCTCTTGTGAGACCTCACCTGGAGCATTGTGTGCAGTTCTGGTGTCCTCAACATAAAAAGGACATGGAACTGTTGGAACAAGTCCAGAGGAGGCCATGAGGATCATCAGGGGACTGGAGCACCTCCTGTATGAAGAGAGGCTGAGAAAGTTGGGGCTGTTCAGCCTGGAGAAGAGAAGGCTGAGTGGAGACCTCAGAGCAGCCTTCCAGTATCTGAAGGGGGCACATAGGGATGCTGGGCAGGGACGCTTCATCAGGGACTGCAGTGATAGGACAAGGGGTAATGGGTTAAAACTTAAACAGGGGAAGTTTAGATTGGATATAAGGAGGAAATTCTTTCCTGTTAGGGTGGTGAGGCACTGGAATGGGTTGCCCAGGGAGGTTGTGAATGCTCCATCCCTGGCAGTGTTCAAGACCAGGCTGGACAAGGCCTTGGGTGGTATGGTTTAGTGTGAGGTGTCCCTGCCCATGGCAGGGGGGTTGGAACTGGATGATCTTAAGGTACTTTCCAACCCGAACTAATCTATGAAAATCAGGGCTTTGGAAAACTCCGCCATTTGAGCCAGTTTCACACACATATTCAGTGTATCACAGACAACAAATGCACACCAGAACCACAGAGACACCACATCCCACGGGGTGAAAAGCCTGAGCGAACAGAAAGACGATCCCCTCTTAAGCCCGTTAGCTTCATTAACTTAGTGCCACCACTCCCTCGCTCACAGCGTTGCCCGTCAAACCGATGCTGCCGGTTTGCTCACGTTAAAAAGGAGCCACCAATAACGGGTGAAGAAGTTTGAAGCCCCTTTCCTGGCAGACAAAGGGGAGCTGCCACCTGCCCGCTGCCCCGCCGAGCCCCGCAGGGCCGGCAGCCCCCGCCGCCGAAAGCGGCCCCTCCGCAGGGGCAGCCCAAAGCTCCGCCTCGGGAAACGGCGGGCGGGACGAGACCCCTGTGCTGGGGCGGCGGCGGCGGCAGCCCCCGCGCTCCGGGTCCGGGACACGGCCCGGCCCGCCCCGGGGCCGAGCAGCGGGGCGGGGTTCCCCGGCCCTGCGGGAGGTGGCGGCGGAGCGGCTCGGCTCGGCTGGGCTCGGCTCGGGGGGTCCGGCGGGGAGCGATGGAGCCGCCCGAGGGCTGGGACCCGTACGGGCGGCCGGCGCGGCGCACGCAGTGGCTGGTGAGCGCCCTGGCCTACCACTACGGGCTGGACCGCGGCGTGGAGAACGAGATCGTGGTGCTGGCCACCGGGCTGGACCAGTACCTGCAGGAGATCTTCCACCACCTGGACTGCGCCGGGGCCGGCCGGATTCCCGGAGAGGACTTCCGCACGCTGTGCCAGGTGCTGGGGCTGGAGGAGGCGGCGGAGGCGGCGGCCGACCCCGAGGAGTGCGCGGGGCTGTGGGAGGGCCTCTCCGCCGAGCTCACCTTCCGCCAGTTCCACGCCCGCCTCTGCGGCTACTTCAGCACCAAGGCGGGCTGCCCGCGCCGCTCCGTGCCGCGCCTGCCGCTGGGCCGGGAGAGCGAGCACATCGAGACCCAGATCCGGCTGCGCAGCCCCCGCCGCCGCCGCCGCCTCAGGGACCCGCCCGGGCCCGCAGCACCGGCCCGGCCCGGCGGCGGGGGGGCAGCGGAGCGGCGGCCCGCGGGGCCCTGCTCGCGGGAGTGCTACGAGGAGATCGTGGCGCTGGAGCAGGCCGAGGACCGCATCGCCAAGCTGGAGGAGGAGAACGGGAGCCTGCGGGAGCTGGTGGAGGACATGCGGGCCGCCCTGCAGAGCAGCGACGCCCGGTGCCTGGCCCTGCAGGTGAGCAGCGGTGACCCCCGGCTGCAGCTTGGAGAGGTGCTGCGCCCGCAGCATAGGTCGGCTGTAAGAGGGGTACGGCACAGACCGGGGTGGCCCTCTCGTCCTCGGCATTAACTTCTTAGCAGAGTTTGGTCACAGAGAGGCTTCAAGGAGACCGCTGTGATTCCACCAGCGGTGTGTGTATATCCCTTAAATACCACAGAATCACAGACTGGTTTGGGTTGGAAGGGACCTTGAAAATCATCCAGTTCCAACCCCCTACCACGGGCAGGGACAGCTTCCACTAGAGCAGCTTGCTCTGAGCACCTGTGTCCAACCTGGCCTAAATATAGTTATAAATATGTATATGTATATCCTTAAATGTATATTTAAGGGATGTGCTGAGAACCACCCTACTAAAATTGCAGAAGACCTCAGTTTAACAGACCTAGGTCTATAATGCTGCTTTTCCTATTGCATATGCAGTCACTTATACACCAGTTACGCACCGCTGTGGGCTTTTTCCCGAAGTAAAAAGGAACTTCTGGATTCTTACCTCCATAAAGACATGCAATAGCTCATTCACAAGCACCCCAGAGCTTTGTCTCAGGAACATGGGAGGTGTGTTTTCTTCAGTGTGGTCATGGGAGCTCAGAGCTGGAGCCAGCTCTGCACATGGCCTGATGAACAGTCTGTGGCTTCTCTGCAAGGCCCCACTCATTGTTTCTGTTGTATCAGCTGAAGTGAAACACATACATAGTGAAACGTGAACATATACATACTTAATAGCAGTTGAATTACTCTGTCATGACGTAGCACAGACATGGTTGGCATCAGGGTAGATTTTATACCAGCACAACCCACACAGAGTTCTGTGCCGTTTGCATTAGCTGCTGTCCATCTCTGCAATGCCCAGCACAGCAGGTGAAAGCCAGTTTACCCCTTTCATGTGAAAAGTGAAAGGAGGGCAGAAGTGAACACGAAGTCACCAAAGAACCCAGAAAGAATGAGAAGGACAAAGATGAGAGCTTGAGGTCACCACGAGCTGCTCTGTGCTCAGCTCTACTCAACACAACTTCAGAATCATAAGGGGAAGTACTTTTTGCACGGTATTACTTGCCTTTTGAGGACAGACTACAGTAATGGCACTAAAGCTAGACAGAAACGTGTGCAATAACCTCATTTTCCACTTTAGGAGTAGGTTTAAAATGGAACATATAGATACATATTTAAAAACTAATGTCCAGAGACTGTTTCCTTGTCTCTGTATTTCACAAAGTAGCTCATCAGTTGCTGATCAACTCTTTGTCATTAAAGAAAAACCAAAGCAAACAACAAAACACAATCCAGCCATTTTCAGTCTTGATTAATATGATGCTTTAGAACACATTAACTTCCCCCTGCTTTCTGCTCCTGTTATTACAGGTAGGACTGCGGAAGAGCCACGCTAACCATAAGGAAGAGGGGACCTGTTTTGTAGGGTGCAAGAGACCGTTAACGCAGAACCAGTCCCAGACCAAGTGCCTTCAAAGCGTACTGAAAGAAGTGGAACTCATACGGAGCTCCAGGGACGGGCAGATAGAAGAAGCAATTAGGTTCAATCAGGAGCTGGAAAGAGAGCTGAAGAGCTCTCAGGAAGCTCTGGTCAATCTGGAGGACTGCAACCGTAACCTGAAGAGGGAACAAGCAGAAATGAGGAAGAAGGTGGAAGAGGCTAGACATGCCGTCCGTAACAGTCTTGGCAAAGTGAAGGAGCTGGAAGTGAAAGCCAACGAAGTGCCACATCTCCAAGTATACATCCAGCAGCTGGAATCAGAACTGCAGCACTACAGGTAAGGCTGAGTCCGTCAAAAAATGCCTATAAAATTGCAGTATTGGAAATTACCAAGTTACCATGAAAATCACCCGTTGTAGCTTATTAAATGTTGCCAAATACATGTAAAATGGAGCCAGAGAGGAATTAGAAGCTACTTTTCTTGATAGGGATCCATAACAGAATTGGGCTGTTCTAGTGGAAGGTAGATCAAAATAAGGATGCTGATCTACACAGAGGTGAAGTTACTCCTCAAACACACAGCACTAGGACTCAACGTAGTAATGATTCATGAAAGCCTCTGAAGAAACTGCTGACAGCCCTTCAGAAACCATTTCCATGCACATATTTTCTCACCTTATCTAAGCAGCCCAGTCATTCCCTGGCAGTTGGGGCACACGTACAAAGCCAGCTGTAATCAGGTGGTTGACCCTCCACTTCTTACTAAACCTCTTCAATTCGTCCTACAAAGTGGAGGAAAACCCACAGGGCTGGCTTGTGCCCAGCAGTGTTAAACTCTGCCGCAACTTTATTGCTTTTTCACCAACAGAATATGTCATATTCCACAAGGCAAAAGCTAAAACACTTTCCTGAAACCACACAATCATGTAAGAGAAGTCTCAAGCAAAAAATGCATCATCCAACTATGCCCGCTTCTGTGATAGTATAAATAAATGTCTTTCCAAAAGTCAGGAAGTTGCTTACAAATTTAAGAGTTCACTGCTTTTGTAGAGTTGTATCTCAGACCAGACTTGGACTCACTGATGGTTAGCAAGTGCCAGGCATTTCTGCCCAAGTTTCAAATTGACCCATGGAATAAAATCTTGGTTATACCTTTACTGACCCAAAGTAAAGCTAATAGTTACACATTTTTTCCTTACTGTACTAAACCTGGTATTTTAATACATTGTCTACTCTGATCTCCTTGTCTCTTCCTAAACTTATACTTCCTCTGTTTGCTTCTCAGAAGAGTTCCTAGTGAGTTATTTGTAGCATCATGGCTATTGTACTGCTTTATGACGTGAGGAAGTGCTAAAAATAACCACTTTATCCAGTGTCTTTGTGTCAGTGTTGTGTATGTTAATACTTGTGATTGCAGGAGGTAAAAGCCTTCATTTAAACATCTGTAGGATTTTAGAAACACCACAAGGGCACATAATGTCCAAGAGGACTGTCATTTATAGAGGTCTGGGTGAATGACACAGCTCTCAGTACTGAGAGAGATCGCACTACTTGTCTGGTCTCTGAAGTTCTCCCTAGGATGAGCACCAAAAGCTTAACATGAGTTCTTGTCCTGCAGAATTGCTTTTCCAAAGAATGATGAAGCATAAAAGCACTAGCTTTGAACAGGTAGAGCTGAATTAGTTAATGGTAATAAGAAATGTCAGCTGGACCTTGCAGAGCAGGAACTTTTATGGGTTGCATCAAAACAGATAGTGTAAGATGTACATTATATGTTCTTTGTAGGAGTATCTTCTTCCATACTATTGGTTTTAAAAATGCATGCTAATTTAAAGTGGGTGTAAGGCTCAGGAATGGCACTGGAATGACCATTTGGAAACTACTCCCCTTTTTCAGCCCTGCAGCACATTTAGCACAGGACCAGGCCAGCTTCCATGTGCAAGACCCTTTAATGGGTCTTGGTTCTGTGTTAGTCACAAACCCCTGCTGTCTCCCTGTCCATGGGTTATAGCTCAGGGCTTAAACATGCTTGTTTAACAGCAGAGCTGCTTAGTGATGATTGTGACTTGCATGGCTGGGGTCGTATTCCACAGTTCCACAGCATGTGGAATATCATAATTCTGTAAGTGTGGCACAGAGATGCCCAAACTGGCAGAAAACAGTTCAGCAGTGAGTTGAGCTCTGTGATGGAAGAGCTGGACGCTTGCATGGCTATCTGTACCTTAGGCAGCCATTGGCATCGTAGCTTGTCCCTCTCACTTGCCTACACTCACACTACAGATGGCAGGAACTCCTTCTGTTCATAGAGAATCATCTCCAGTTGTACGCAAGCCTCAAACCCACAAGCATGGTGTGGGTGAGGTGGTAGGAGTGCATGTTGAGTTGGCCAGAGCGTAGGGATGGAGGGACAGTTGCTGTATCCCACCGACTCCCCAGACAGTCAGTTGGCACATGTGTTACTTGTGATGTTATTAAAGTCAGAGTGCATTGCGGTTAATACTCCAGTGTTCTGCTCCATCTCCAATGACCACAAAACATTTGTGAGCAGGTAAGCAGGATGTAAGTTTGGCAGAAGAACTAATGCTGCAAGGTAGCAGTGGAGATAAGGGGGTTGGCACTTGAGTATACTGCAGAAAGCATTTAAGACTGCAGGAATGGCTCCTGAGAACTGACCTTAACTGGCTTGGTATGCCACTGTTTTGCTCCAGCTAAAGTCTGGTTTCTTCCAGAGAGGATCACATTCAAGAATGAGAGCGGTCTGTGAGCTTTATATACTGTTCCTATCTATACTTTCATACTTACAAAGAAAATTATTTCTTTTAGGTTTGAGCTTTCAAAGCTCTTTATGCATCTAAATCCGTGTAGACCTTCATCTTGCTATCATTTAGACCTGGAATCACAGCAGCGATCTTAAATTATAACCCCTAGCTCAAGAAACAACACAGTTTCCATCTATTCCGGAAAGTGTTTAAGTGCTGCAAGTGATGAAATGTTTTCCTAACTTGGGGTACCTAATTACAATTGCCTTCTCTGCCCACGGGCTCAGATTCTTGCAAATTTAATGCCAAAAGTTGCTGTCACTATCTGTGGTACATTTTGCTAACTGAAATTTGTGTGACTTCACCATGAACTCTTTCAGGGTACCCTGGTTCCTGTCTCTGGGTTTGAAATGTCCCTATCACATTGTCGGTTCCCAGCTGACCTAATAGGTTCTAGACACTTCTTGTCTTCAGGGCACATCCTATCCTTCTGCACTGGGTGCAGGGGTCAAGGGTTTGTCCCCTTTCTCCACCATTAGAAGTTTGTACCATCTTTTGTTTTTCAATCCCTGTTTAATGAGTCAGCTGAGACACTTCAATGGTAAACGTTGAGAAATTCCTTATAGAAAAGCATGAGTTAGCATGAGTTGTAGTCATTTCAGAGGAGAAAGACTTTATGAGAAACTGAATGTTTGTCATACAAAAATGTGTGGTTCACAAGTGTCAGTGTATGGAAGAGTTTAGGAAGTTATACAAGCCCCATTTTCAAATGCAGCGTTGCCCAGAGGCTTCTTGTTTTGCACTGGTGCACTTGATTTCCTTCTCCCAGGTGTAGGACTTCTCATTTTTTATGGCTGAATCTCAGCTTTTCCGGTTTTGGATTACGCTTTCAGTTTCTCAGGATGATACTGGGACAAGCCTCCAAATTGCCTGGGGTCAGTTCCCATTTCTCTTTCAAACACTGGAAGCCTACATGAAAATACTGGCTAGGCCCCAGGTCAGATTCTGGTGACCTCCACTTGATCCACTCTTTTTATCCCAGAGCAAATCATTAACAGCTATTCCCTAAACTCCCCTTTTCCCAGGAAATTTTGCTCCAGCCCAAGGTGACACCATCCATGTATTCTGATATAGTCCTGTAAGTACTGTTTATAAGAATGCCACATCTGAAAATGTTACCACAAGAAAAACATCACATCTACTGTTTCTTTTGATCCATTCAGCCATCTTCCATGTCAGAAAAGGAAATTAGATTGGTTTGACATGAATTGTTCTTGCTGTATGTAAGTTGGCTCCATCTCCTATACTACACTGTAGGTAGCTTAGAAATTGATTATGGATTTTCTCCTTAATAAAATTGGTGGGAATTTAACAGAATTTAACAATCTTGTTTGGATCCCAGTTTAAGAAATGAAAAGGTCATTCAGAATTGAAATAGACTTCATAAAAGAGATGTTCACAGAGGATTTATGTTACCGTGTTAGCCAGCAGCACAGTAATTACATAGGTCAGTGGAAGGGGTCATAAAATAACATAACTGCTTCCCATATGCATGGTCTGTCTCCCAAATTACTTAATTATCCATCAGCATTTATATGTGTTAATGAGGAGGAATCCTTTGTGCAGGGAATACAGGGAGGCTTATTTCATCCCCCCATATTTTCTTATAAACATGGAGCTCTTGAGCATAATTTCCTCCATATCTATCTTTCTTTCCTAAAATCACCAGTGTTAATCTTTATGTTTTAGGTTGTCTTGTATCAGAAGTAGCTCAATTTGTCTTTTCTTCTAGGAGCCAGTGTCCTGATCTTTTCGGTAATTTATCAGATTATCATTTACTCTGTAAAATAGAACAAGATGAACCAGAAAGATCCAGATCAATTATCTAAGAGCAGGAGAGGAATATGGAAATATTCCTAACTGGTACAGAATCGGCTCTGTTAATGAAGAGAGAAAAGCCCTAGGAAAGAAACACTGCTCCACAAAAGAAGGTGTATATAGGAGGTTATTTCCAAGCTGAATGATGGTGTGTGGTTTATAGGTGTTCTAGAGCTGTTCTTCTATTTAAGAATTAGACATTAAATAAAGGAAATGTGGACAACTTTCTGCTTGGCTACTGTCATCAATACCAACTGGTTGTGAGGTGAAGTGCACCTTGACAGTGTATTTCAGAGGGTATGTGTTTCAGGATTTGCATGCAGACTCTGGGTGTTTATGTGCTGGACTGCACGAGGGACTGGATAGAAAAACAGACCGTAAGCACATCCTTGGACACGAGCAAGGCCAGGCAGGGTCAGTCCCAGTGGTGACAGGCAGGGGACTGAGCTCACCCAAGTTAAAGTACTTTGCAGAGCCTCATCTGTAAAAGCACTCAAGCATGTTGTTCCAGATGGACTGATGTAATTTTATTTTCTAATTCTGCTTGTATTTTCTTCTGCTTAAGACTGTAAAGTGTTACATATTGCAGAGAAATATTGCCAAAAAAACACAGAGCTTTTAAGGTTTTCAGGATACTAACAGCAGCAGGTGAATATGTTCCCATCATATGGACTTCAGACTGCTGGTGTGTCTCTAGCCA